TTTCAGACCCAGGCCAGCTGGCCTTGGTGAGTTCCCGATAGAACATCCCCATTGTCTCAGTGTGTGGGTGCACCCCTCGCGGTCCTGAGTTCCTTGCTGGTGCTCTCTCTCCTTGTGCTCCTGATTTGGACCACTGTCGAAATCGTGGCTCACATTCGAGCTGCGCACTTCTCAGCTGATTCAGTCACCCCCTGCACATCATTTGTAACCAGTACTTACACATTTCCGATTGCTGGGACGTTTCCAACGTTCTGTTCTTTCCAGATAGCCCTTAGAAATGCTCTAATGAGAATCTTTACATAAATCTCTGTCTGTATCAAAGAAGGTAACTTGAGATATAGTCCCAAGAGGGCAGTTTCTATGTCAGAGGAGATCATTTCCAAGGCTCTTGAAACCTATTATCAAACTGCTTTCCTGTACGGTTCCGCCTGCACCGACAGAGCACAGGAATTCGCTAACCCCAGGTCCCCGCCAGGATTAAGTGTAATTTTGTGTTCTGTGCACAGGGACATGACACAGAAATGCAGCCTCTCCTCTTCTTTTAGCCTGAATTTTAAACCCTCGATGAAATTCCATGTTCTTTCCAGTTTAGCCTTTTGTGTTTTCTCTATTTATAAATTATTGGTACGATCAGTTTTTTAAAATCGAGTTTTAAAACAATTGTTCTTCCGGTGCCTTAATTTTGGTTAGTTTGCGCTCACACCGGTGAGGAAGAGAGAGCAGGAAGTAGCAGAACTTTTTAAATTAGAAAACATAATTTTAATATTTAACTTCCTTGAGATTTCAAGAGCTACTAAAAGAAAGAGAAACAGGTTTAGGGTTTCCAAAAAAAAACAGAACACTGAGGGGCATCGCTTTGTGGTTGCTTCAGAACTTTTTATTCTTGCCTCAATTTCCTCCGGGTTTTTAGACAGGAATGGTCTCTGTGGGTAGGTAACTAAAAGTACTATTTGAAAAGCCTTGGTTTGCAGATCTGTCTACTTCTTTACATAGGCCTGTGTGGATGTCAGAGGGTGCTAGCCTTCCCTCTATGGCCCTTGTGGGGGTTTCTTGTTTGTTTGTTTTTTGTTTGTTTGTTTGTTTTTGAGACAGGGTCGCTCACTGAATTTGCACCTCTGTGATTGGCTAGGTGCTAGCCAATGAGCTCCAGAGATCTTTCAGTCTCCGCCTCCAAGTGCTGGTGCTAGAGATTCAAACCCCTGTACCAGTCTTTTACATGGATGCTCAAGACCCAAACTCCTCAGGTCTGCGTGTTTGTGCAGACGGCCCAACTCATCTCCCCAGCCTCCCAGCGTGCTACTTAAAACATAGCAAGAGATAGCTTGCAAACAGGAAAGGAAACGTGCCCCTAGAGATGGAGCGTGTACGGACTGCACTGAACAGCCCCTCCCTGGAGGTCGGGATTCCAAAGTGTTTTAACCAAAAGCCCATATACTGAGGGGAAGGCAAGGAAAGGCTTGTGTGCACGGGACAGTAAGAACTTTGTTAACCTCTGTTGGTAAACCCGAACAACCATGCTTGTACTCACTCATTCTTGGGTCTTGGGTGACTAAACAAGTATTGGGGTGGTCTTGATGAAATATTTATGGTCCTAATGACACCAAGACTTCTAAAGACTTCCCAGTGAGCCACAGGCCCCCGTGGCTAGTATTTAGCTTTCCCAAGAATTAGCCCTCAAATTTATTTCACTTCATGCCTTCAACTTCACTATTTGTTTGTTAGCTTCTTTGTTTGTGTTTATATGCTTAGTACATCCTTTACAAAATGTTCTCAGATTCTGCCTGTTTCTTTCTGCATAGAAGATGAAAGAGGGAGCTTTATGCAGAACTAAGTGATACACAGGCAACTTTAAAATCAGACCGCCAGGAAACTCGCACACGCCCAACCCCCAGAAGTAAATAACACCTCAAAAATGGCAGCCTTCATGCTTCTCGGCTGCCTTTTCTGCTCTCATTCAGGTCTCCTGCCTGTCTCTGCTGCTGGATGGCCAAACAGGCAACTGCCCACACTTCAGCTAGCGCTAAGAGCCAGTCGCACAGGCTAACATGGGAGCTGTGTCATCGGCACCGGTTACAGTGTTTTAGCGAGTTCAGGCTGCTGTAGCCAACTGTCATAGAGTAGTAGCCTACAAAAGCTGGACGCTAATCTGTCGAGTTTCTAGAAGCTGGGAAGGCCAAGATAAAGACACCAGCAGTTGACACCCCTTTCTGTGATGGGTGGATCTAAACAGCTGAGACCGCTTTTGTAAAGGCCCTAATTCCATTCCTTTTAAATTTTTATTTCTCGTGTGTACGATACACGTGTATGGACGTGTGACTTGTGTGTGAGCGAGTGCAGGCGTGCCACAGTGCACTTGTAGAGGTCCAGGCACAACTTTGAAGATGGGTTTTGTTTGAGACAGGGTCTCTTGGCTGCTTGCTCTTGCATACATACTACAGGCTAGCTGGGCACGGAGCTTCTGGGAGAGTCTTCTGACTCCTCCCATCTTACCATAGCAACAAGGGTCCATGGGATTGCAGATTTAAGTTACTGTGTCTAGCTTTACTTGGGTTCTGTACATTGAAACTTAGGTGTTTTACCCATGGAACCATCTCTGCGGCCCCATTAATTCATGACAGGGCTATCTGCATCTTCATCCCCTCCCAGAGGCTTTGCTTTTAATACCATACCCTTAAGGGTTAAAATTTCAATATAACAGTTTTAAGGGGGCACAGTCGTACTGTAGCAGCGACTGTATAATTTTCTCAAGCACTTGGTGATGTTACTACCCTTTCCTTCAAAACTAGCTACCAATTTAAGGGTCCTCTTGTACCTGAATTGAATATATCTTTGTCTATTGAGAGGGGAGGGAGAGGGACAGGAAGAGGGAGAGAGGGAGGGAGGGAGGGAGGGAGGGGAGAGAGAAAGAGAGGGAGGGAGGGAGAGAGAGAGGGAGGGAGGGAGGGAGAGAGAGAGAGAGAGAGAGAGAGAGAGAGAGAGAGAGAGAGAGGGAGAGAGAGAGGTTATTTTGTGTGTTTTTTTAGACAGAGCCTCACTATGTAGCCTAGAACTTGTGATCCTCCTGCCTCAGCCTCCTGAGTGCTGATATAACAGGTGTGTCCCCAATCTGGATTCAAGTGCCTGCTTAGATTGTTGTGTTTTTCTGTGCTCACTTCCAGAGCCCCAACTCTATCCAGAAAGCAAGTCATCTCCAAATGTAGCTACAGTGAGGGTGAGCTAAAAGTGTACTTTCCTGGAGTGTGTGAGATGAAGGGGTGCCTGGTAATATGGAGGTGCCTGGAGATATGGTGGGGTACCTGGTGAGATGGGGGTGCCTGGTGAGATGGGGTGGCTGGTGAGATGGGGGTGCCTGGTGAAGGAAGGAGCATGGAGGATTTAATGGCATTTTTGAAAGCAAGGAACTGCTTTTCTGGCTACAACACTAAGTGAACTTGTAGAAATGGAGAAGTGGATGTTTTCATACATCACTAATAAAAAATACTATGAAAAATTGTTATAGTATATACCAAAATTTTAAGTGGATGTAAATTTCAAACAAAAATTCTATTTAGAAATTTGTTTTAATGAAATAATGAGAGATCTATGCCAAGATGAAGCTGTTTACATTAAATGGAGGATCAGTTAAGTTGCAATACATGCATATAATGCAATACTCTGCAGACAGTTAAAATGATTGTGGGAGCCAGGTGGTGGTGACATACGCTTTTAATCCCAACACTCAGGAGGCAGAGGCAGGCAGATCTCTGTGAGTACGAGATAGGCCTGGTCTACAAGACCTAGTTCCAGGACAGGCCCCAAAGCTACAGAGAAACCCTGTCTTGAAAAACAAAACAAACAAAAAGATTGTGGTAAGAACATTTAATGACAAGGAAAATGTGTATATATGTGTGTGTTCATGGTGTGTGCATATATGTATATATATATATATATATGTTGAAATAATTTGTAAATGGTATGAGAAAGATTAAATGTTTTAGTACTTATATAAATGTATGCAAAAATGCATGCATACAAAAAAAACAAACTTCTGAGTTCATCCATATCCTCTTTATTGCTTGTTGCGTTTTTCTAGAAGGATCATGCATCACTTTTGCAATAAGAAAGTCAACATTATTTTCTATTTATCATTATTTTTTTAAAGTTAAAGGCTCAGGTTTATTCTGTATACTTGAAAAAGAGCCAGGAAATGTGGCTTTAAGTTCTTCGGTCCCCTGCTTCACTGGTTACAGAACCCATGAAGTCAGGCAGTGTCTAAATGCTGCTTTTGAGGCTCTGGTTCTGGTTCTGAGGCAAGTACAGGACCGGAGCTGCTAGATCACAACACCAGTCGTCCATCCTCAGATCTGATAGTCTCTCCTTCTCCCTCCTTCCTGTTCCTTCTCCAGTGTCTTCCTTTCAAGACATCCTCTGCTAAGGCTGTTTATAGGTCTCTGTTCAGCCTTCCTGTAGTCATTCTTACACACACACACACACACACACACACACACACACACACAAGCCATGCATGCACACATTCACACACACATGCCATGCATGCACAAGTTCACACATGCACACACGCACACAGATGCATCCACACACATGCTTTGTTCTGAGTGTGTAGCTCTATGGACTTGACAAACTGGACACTTGGAAGCCCACTGTGGACCCGAGGAATGGTCACAGGAAAAGGGTGGGTGCTCACCCTACACCCAGCTTTCGTTCCTGGGACCAGGCCCCATACACAGTCTCTGCTTTGGAAAAGGAGCTGCAGCCCTGGTGCGTTGAAATGAAAAGGCGGCAGATGTGGCAGATACCAAGGAGGTTTTCCGGAAAGGCCTTTCAACAGGACTAAGACACTCTACCAACTGGATCTCTTACTTTTCCTAATACAAGAAAAGATTCATTTCATCAGTGAAAACGCCTCAATGTATCTCAAATATGGGAGAAGGTAAAGAAAACAGTGCTCAAAGGGAAATGATACTAATTAGGTTCATTTTGTCTTTATTTTCATCACGTAGTTTTGCTGCTAACTGGAATACATTCAAATAAAGGCATGGCAAAGAAGACCAAGAAGCCCAAATTCGGTGAGTAAAATCCAAGTCCCTTTGTGGCACAGGCTGTGTGCCCCATGCGGAGAGTGGGCTCGCTTACATTACAACAGTGGTTCTCAACCTTCCTAACGCCGTGACCCTTTAATACAGTTCCTCATGGTGTGCTGACCCCCAATCATAAAATTATTTCATTGCTACTTCATAACTGTAATTGGCTACTGTTATGAATCATAATGTAAATATCTGGTATGCGGGGTATCTGATCTGTGACCCCTGTGAAAGGGTCATTTGACCCCCAAAGGAGTTGTGACCCACAGGTTGAGAACCATTACATTAACATCTGTGAATCGCAATGTTTGCTGTTGGCCAAGGTTTTTCTATCTATGTCAGTTGCTTTACATTTAAACGGAGATATGCCTTATTCATTATCTACCTCAACCCCCCCCCCATTGCTATAAATCCTGATTTTCAAGTAAAACCAATGTGGTTCCACTGCAACAGGAAAACTCAAAATTCACACATAGAGCCAGGCAACTCTGACATTCTGTGGCTGGTGTCTCGATTCCCCATGACAGAAGACTCAGGAAGGCTGGCACAAAAGTCTGTCGATGCTTCCTGTCTACCAGCATGCCTGGAAGAGAAGAAAGACCCGGGAAATTAAGAAGACAAGAAAAAGGAAGTGTTCCCTCACACTCACACCCCACACGGATCTGGTTACGTTTCTCACTGGCTGCAATTTCAACACAACTGACAAAACCAAACCACTGGAAAGATTACCACAAAACTCTGATTTGTGTGTGTGGATGCAGTGTGGCCAGCAGCCTGGCACTCCTACCGCCGTTGCTTTGATAGACCTGAGCTTGTGGTTTGTAGGTCTTTAGAGCTGGTTTGTAGAAGGAGTGCGCAAGAGTTTGAGCCCGTGAGCCAGAGAAGCACCATCATGCCGTAAGCGGAACTTGACAGGCCGTTCTGAGGGCTGCTTGCAAGATGGTAATGCTGAGAGAAATAAATGCAGTGGAGACCCAACTCTTGAGGTTTCAGAGGGAAATAAGGTACTTAGCGGAGAACAGAATTAGAGTTCGTTCATGCATTTGAAGAACTTGAGTGAGACCAAATTTGAAAGTGATGAACCCAGTTTGGGCTGGAGAAACTTCAAGACAAGACAGTATTCAGGTGGTGTTGGGGTCACTGCTCACTGCTCTTACCCAGTCTGTAGTGAGCGCAACAAGGGACACAGAAGGACCTGAAAGCTGCGCATTTGATAAGAAGAGCCTGAGCGAATTTGAAGTTGCAGAGAGGCAGTTGTAAGTGTTAAGCGATAAACACTATGAACCAGAACCCTCCTGCTCTGCATTGTGGGGACAGGGAAGGTGTGCCAAGGGCAAGAGGCCAAGAAGTCTTCAGCTCGTGAAAATGAAAATTCGTCGGAAAAGACTACACCTACACTGAGACGCCTCTGAGGGGCTTCCCTGCTCCAAGCTTAGGAAATTGTCTTTTCAAATAGAGCCAGCAAGGCACCCAGCTGTGAGAGAGATAGTTGGAGTCGAACTTAGCAGCATTGTTCCCCTGGCGCTGGTTTTGCAGGGAAGTGAAATGCCAGAGTGTCGGCAGCAAGAGGGCTGTACCACGGGAGCTCCAGGGTCAGGCAGTGTGTGGCTGGGTTGGGATCCTTACAGGGTAGCCCTAAAAATCCATCGCATGAAACTGGCATGTGATGCCCGAGTGACAATGAAGACCCGGATGTTGGAGATCCCAAGGTCATGGAACGTCTGCCAAGGAAAGCTGCAAGAATGGAGTGGGTTGGCTCAAAGAGACGTTACATGTGCTACAGGCGGCAGAACTGGAGGAAAGAGGCTCCCTCAGTATTTTGGAGCCCAGATGATTTCATCACGAGTAACGGAGACTCAACGTGGAGCTGTCGAACTTGGTCCTATCTATTTTTTGCCCCGCCTCCTCCATTCCTCCCTTTGGGGATGGGAATGGGCACTCCGAGACATTATATGCTAAAAGCATAGAACTTGATGTTGACTCTACAATGGCTCACAGCTAAGAAATGACCTTGGTCTCAGAAGTAATTGGACTGTTGGGCACTGTTGGAAGTATTAAAGAATATAAGGACTTTAAAATTTGGAATAATTATAGTTTGTGTTATGAGATGGCCATGAGCATAGGGGTCAAGGGGCAGAATGTACTTGTTTGAATGTGAAGTATCTCCCCTAGGCTGGCTGTTTGGATATTTTGTACTCAATGTTGGTGCTATTTTGGAAGGTTAGGGAATCCTTAGGAGATAGGCCCTCTCAGGGAAAGTAAGCCACTTTCAGAAAACCTTAAGGTTTTTATTTGTGATAGATATGTAGGTAGGTATGTAGGCAGGTAGGTAGATAGGGAGGAAGGGAGAGAGAGAGTCTGGCACCACAGCCTGTCTGTTCACAGCTTCCTAAACAGATACAATGTAACCAGTTGCTTCCCGACTACAGACACAATGTAACCAGTCACCTCCTGACTACAGACACAATGTAACAAGTCCCCACTATTATGGATGGTCCACTCTGGAACTGCAAACCTTCACTCATGGGGAGAGTGTGGGTGGAGTGGGAGGTGAATTACGTACAGAGGGACAATGCTCCTTTATCAAAAACTATTTCAAACAAGTATTTAAACAGCTTAAGGCTAAAATCTACAGCACCTTCAAGTTTAATGCCCTAAGCACCCCCTCTCATCCATAATCCTAAACAATGTGCATCTCACACACACCCCAAATTATAAATTTTCATTTACAAAAGGAAATTGTTGAAGGTAAGAGAAATAAGCAAACAAATTCATGGTTCTTTTAACTTAATTTTTAGGCTTTGTTTAATCTTTGAACTTGTTTGTAAATTACATATTTTAAACAATCTAACTTCAAAAGACAGAGGACCATAGCTACAAACAGCTCTTTTACGGCACGTAAGTGGGACCCTGTCCTGAGGAATCTTACCCACCCCTAGGGTGTGCAGTCTGCTGGACAAACCCCAGCTTGTTTCACCCCGACTCCTCCTGAAATTCTTTGTTATGCTGAAAATCAGGATTCTGACTCTATGTGAAAGAACTCGGCAGGCTGCAGAGGCTGCACAGGCTGCAGCATTAAGACATTGTCCACTCCCACTGAACTCTGGGTTACGGAGGTAAATCACAGAAATACCTGGCAGATACCACACGCAAACAACAAAAAGGAAAAAATGAATTTCATTGTTGGTTAAGATAAGTTGACCAAAAAAAAAAATCCAAACTAATTACTACTCACGTGAGACCAAAGTCCCTCTCCCTTAAGCAAAATCAAGCTGTAATTTAATAAAGCTTCAGGTTGTTAGATTATATGTACACCATTTTTGACATGGCTCCTAACTGTCCAAAATGGCCACCTCACCCCCATTCTTTCCTATCAATAACAAAGAATGAAAAAAAGCACATACTAGCTCACAAAAATAATAATAATAACAGTAACATAACACCTCTACTTAAATACCGATTCAGTAAGTAACAAATAGACGGAAATGTCTTGATTGCCGCATACACATGCTTCACTGAGAGTAAGGGATCCTCTCCCTGGGGAGGAAGGACAGAGCGAACGATGGGAACTAACCAGCAGAACAAGACACAGATGGAAACTGTGCACTCTGAGTGCGCTGGGATTTCTGGATCCAGAAGTGAAGGCATGATGGAGGTTTATAGGCAACTGTAAAATAAAGACTTCAGACGAAGCCAGTCTTCTGTGCTTCCCACAGCAAAGGCTTTCTCTCCAGGCATTAAATTTAAGTGTCTTGAAATCAGCAACATGGATAATTTGAAATAAAAGAAAGAAATTTGCTTCATACAACCACCCCCTTTTTTCTTCGTTTTCTTAAAAGCTACCATGTGGGATTTCCTGCTGGAATGAGACCGAAAGGGCAGCCGTCCATAGACTCTTAGGTGGAAATACTCAAAAAGAAGCAGTTGTTTATTTATCCCATCAGGACCAAGAGCCAAGAGGGCCAGCACTGGGGCAGATGTGTGTTCAAAACAATGATTGGGTTAATATGGAGACAAATGCACACCCAAGTATGGATTCCTTTGGGTTATTTCCAGTATCTTCATTAACTCTGATACAAAAAAATCATGAAAAGTTCCATGATTACCATGACAACAGTTCTCAGTGACTATGAAAGTCTGTGTTAAGTAACCCAAGGGCAAACCCCTTGGAGAGCTCTCAGATGGATTGAATTTCTGATATGCTAAATTCGAGTTTTATTCTCCAAAGCTCCCTTGTGATGCAGCACATTCGAATCAATAAATGCCTGAAGTCTTTTCTCTAATTAGAAACTCTAGCACAAGCCTTAAATAAGGGAGGGGAAAGACACGATTAATGTAACAGAATAGTCCCAAGCCAGGGACGCATCTGATTCTTGACCTCGGGAGTATTTGCAAATTATAGTCTATAGCTTGAGGCCAGGGTAATTTTCATTCTTCCAATTCTTGTCTGCAGCTGGACTAGGTAACTTACGGCAGGGAAGGCACAGCGTTCAGGCATTCAGCAAGGGTGTACCAGAGGCCAGCTCAGCACCAGGCCTGGTGTTAGACACCCAGATACAACTGAATCAAGACACAGTTTTCCCTTCACAGAGCTAACATACCAGTCAGGAAGGAAGAGGAGCAATACAGCAGTCTATAGCATGTAAAGGACTAACAGAACTATGAGACTATGTGTGGTGGAATTGTGTGCCAACTCTGATAAAGCAAATGAGGGAGTGGCATTACAAACAATCGGGTGAGGGTCGGGGGACATGCTCATGGCCTGAAGATTTTAAAACAGCTTAAAAAATTGGTCAAGCATGGTGGTGCATGCTTATAATCTCAGTTTTTGGAAAACTGAGGTTGAAGGATCATGAGTTCAATTCTAACCTGGTCTACAAAACAAGATTCTGTCCCAATCCCCCTCTCCAATCTCCAAAGAAATTTAAAAGGAAAGTTTCAACTTGGCTGAAATACACAGAAGGAGTTGAAGGGGTCTGGGCAAT